GCATAAATTATTCTTGAACTGACCAAAGTATTTAAAGGGAGAAGGTTACATTAAAAACATATATTTTAACATTATGTTACATTCTGATGTTAAATCCACTATTGTTCTATACAGTATTTAATGTAATTACATCAGAAGTAACTGTAATTAAATTACAGAAAAAACTAAGAGTAAACCCTTATATTTCTGTATTGCTTTATTGCATTTAAATGTTCAGTTATTTTTGTTATAAGAAAAAAGTTATTAAACCTGTTATACTGTATTATGACAGCACTTTTTTAAAACTAAATTTCAATACCGTGATAATACCGTACACCGTGATAAAAGCATTAGCAATTAATCGCAACATGAAAATTTGATACCGGCATATCCCTACACTCAATCAATACATATTGATTTTCTTGTGCAAGAAGACATTATACTGTGCAAGAAGAGCTTTATACAAAAAATATCATCACACAAAAATAAAACAGCAAGTATCAGAATTTGCTTGCACAATCAAGCATTACTAACAAGTTCATTTATTTATATTTTGTTTATACTGATTGCATTTAAATTGAAATTGAGATAAATTAGTGTGAACAGCATTATATGCATGAGTGAATTTATGCAGTTGCGGGTCAGTAATGAGATCAGACGACACAATGAACCAGCGCTGAAGTTTCATCAGCTTTACTTCAGCATGCCTGTACTTCGCCACTTAAAAATTTCATGCTCAAGAAACAGTCCTTAAAGTGCTTAAAGTGGATCAGGCACAGGGGCAAAGAAAAAATAGCAACACACCCGCATGACAAAAAACCTCCTCGCATCTGAAAACTGAGCTTTAAAGTGCAGCTGGATGAGAGAGGCAAAGTTTTGTCGCTGACATCCAGGGCTCATCTCTGATCCACACGTCAGGCTGTGGCCAGCTGAAATATTAATGCACGCCTCCGTTTGCTTGAGAATAGCTTAAAGGGGCTGTCAGAGATGAACTCACCATGCTACATTTTTAGGAGAGGGGTTTCTCTCTCTCACACACACACACACACAATAATGCCAGCGGCTGCAATACTGACCCCAAACTCTTCTCACTGGCCTGATCTTAAAAATTTCATGCTCAAGAAACAGTCCTTAAAGTGCTTAAAGTGGATCAGGCACAGGGGCAAAGAAAAAATAGCAACACACCCGCATGACAAAAAACCTCCTCGCATCTGAAAACTGAGCTTTAAAGTGCAGCTGGATGAGAGAGGCAAAGTTTTGTCGCTGACATCCAGGGCTCATCTCTGATCCACACGTCAGGCTGTGGCCAGCTGAAATATTAATGCACGCCTCCGTTTGCTTGAGAATAGTTTAAAGGGGCTGTCAGAGATGAACTCACCATGCTACATTTTTAGGAGAGGGGTTTCTCTCTCTCACACACACACACACAATAATGCCAGCGGCTGCAATACTGACCCCAAACTCTTCTCACTGGCCTGATCTTCAAGAGATAAATCCATTTTCAGGCAAAAGAGGTGTTACACAGAAAACATGACTAATAAATATAGCTGCAAGCAGCAATTAAGGGGCCAAGAGGACAACAGAGGCAAAATGAGGAGCTAAGCATGGCATTGAGCAACAGACCAACTGCAAAAATTAGTAATCAAAGACAATTATAGAAGATTTTAAATGTTTTATGTTGAAAACTCATAAATACAATGACTTGTATTTGGCCGTAATTGCTTATCACTCTTGACCAATAGGTGGCGCTGTCACCAAACTGATCTAGTGGGGTTAGTGTTGGGGGACAATGACACACACAAGGTTTGTTGTCAATATGCCAAAGTTTTGCAAAACTACAGCCTCAGATCTATTTTGGCATCATGCCATCAAGTTTGGCCAAATTTGGAATTATACAAGTTTGGTTTGATCTAGCAAAAATTTTTGCCAGCACGGTCTGAAGATAATCCAAGCCAATTTTAGTGAAAATTCGACAAACTCACTAGTACGAGTTTGAAAATGTAGGTTTGTCGAAAAAAAAAAAATCATGTTTTTAGCCCTTATGGTTTAAAAGTTTAGCCCTTATGGTTTAAAAGTTACCATAAATGTGAGTGCAAATTTGAGCTGTTGGTGGCGCTAGAGAGTTTGAGTTAGAGACTCCAAATTTGCTGTGGTTAATGTTCATACTATCCTTTATCTGTGTGCCAAATTTCACAACTTCCTGCAAGCAGTTCTATGGCTTGCCATAGACTCACGGTGAGTTCCAAACAGGATATATATCGCCCTCCGAAGGGCACTTTGGAGTGAAAACAATCATGGCCGCCATATTGAAGGGTCGTTCCAAACTGAAGTGCTCAAAACTGGCCACTTCAAAGGGCCCTTCGGAATGAAGGATTTCGAAGGGTACAACTGATGGACACTTCAGGCCCCCATGATCCTTTGCGCAGATTCTTGCATGATGACGGCGCCTCCGTGTGGGCACGTGATGATGACACAGAAGGGCACTTCAAGAAACAGTTATTTGGTCCGCTACACCCTTCAACCCTTCGAAGCCGTCACTCCGGAGGGTAAACCCTTTGAAGGGATTAGGGCATAGGGATGAGCCCTTCCGAATGGGACGCAGGGTCAAATGCGGAAGCCAAAGAGGAACAAGGAGAAGAAGAAGAAGGAAATATATCCTCAGATCCAGCTTGGCATAACGCCATCACATTTGATGATGAGTTATATGAGAACGATTGCATCTATCAAAAAGATTTTAATACCCTTTTCCCAGCATGGTCTGAAGATGATTTGTGACCATTTTTGGGAAAATTGGACAAACCATCTGGTTTGGAAAAAGTAGGATTTTTGAAAAATTCTAAATTTTCATGATGGAAAATGACGTCATATGATACAATCAAATCATATTGAGCGAAGGAATCTGAATCACAAATTTTTGTTTCTAGCTCTTATGGTTTAGGTGTTATTAGCATAAATATGAGTGCAAATTTGAGCTGTAGGTGGCACTACAGGGTTTTAGTTAAATACTCTAAATTTGGTGTGATTAATATCCAGGCTTCCTCTATTTGTGTGCCAAATTTCATAACTTTCTCACAAGCTGTTCTGTGGGTTTCCATAGACTCAATAACGGAAGAGGGAACGGAAGCTGAAGAAGAAGAAAATAGACCCAGTTTGGTTTGATCTATTAAAAACCTTTTAATAACAGTTTGCCAGCACGGTCTGAAGATGATCTGAGCCAATTTTGGTGAAAACTGTATTTTGTTTCTGTGTTTGAGAATTTTGTTTCCAGACCTTACAGTTCAAGTTATAAGCATGAGTTCAAATTTGAGCTTTTGGTGGCGCTAGAGAGTTTGAGTTAGAGACTCCAAATTTATTGTGGTTAATTTTCATACTGTTCTCTATCTATGTGCCAAATTTCATAACTTTCCCGCAAGTGGTTCTATAGGATACCATAGATTCAACAGTGGAAACAGAAGTGGAAGAAGAAGAATATATGTCCTGACCTGTGTTTCTGAGATGGCCACTGTGTTTTTAAACACGATCCATTCCACATTCTCGGAGCAGGGCGGCGCGGTGAGTGAGCCGTTGTACATGAAGTATTTTTCGGTGGACTGTGGAAGCAGAGCCAGCAGAGAAAACGCTTCCAGAGGGCTGCTTTTACCTTCAATACAAGCATGTTTGTGTTTTTGTTATTGCAGTTTGAAATAATGAAAAGGTTTGTGGATGTAATCTTAAAAAAAGATTTACCAAATCGGCTCACGCTGTTTACTCCTTCAATGATGGCTGCATAGTCCTGGTTGTCTTCAATGCTGGCCTAAGAAACAGACCAAACTTAGGTCATTATGATAAAAGGGTTGCAGATATGAGTTAATATACAAATGTGTTTGTGTGTGTTTGATGGTCGCAGGATGAAAATGTCACCTCAAAAAGGATAGCTACAGCAGTAACCTTTCCTCCGCTACTTATCGCCTCGTCTATGGATTCAAACTCCTCATCATCAAAACAATAGATCTGCATCTGTGAGACAGAAACAACTTCAGTCTATTTCATTTTTAGCATGAATTTGGCTTAAAGTCAACATAAAATCACAAAATCATATTTGACCTAATTTACCCATTTATTTATTTTTTGCTGGAAATTCAATGAATGGAAGATATTTAATTTCTTTTTCATTATGTTTAATTATATATCCCAGTAATGAGATATATTATGATATATTGAATACTTGTAAAGGAAAGTTTTTTATTTATTTTCTTATTATTTTTCTTTTATTTTTTTTTATTATTATTTTTTGCTGAAAATTCAGTGAATGGAAGGCATTTAATTTTTTTCATGATATGTTTAATTACATACCCCAGTAATCACAAAATAAAATAAAATTTATGCTGAAAATCAATTTATAAGTTTTTTTTAATTAGTCTAAATAAAATATTTGGAATGGAAGGTATTTAATTTATTTTGATAATCTTTAGATTTTTTTATTTACTCAATTTATTTATTCATTCATTCATTTATTATTTATTTATTTATTTGGAATTTTTATGGATACAGTGTAACAGAGGTAAATAATAATAATAATAAATATAGCAGCAAGCAGCAATTACGGGGCCAAGCACTACAGAAGCAAGCATCAGACCAACTGCAGCAATGAGTGATTAAAACCATTTTAAGATGATTTTAGTCAAAATGGCTGAAAAATCATAAATACAACCACTTGTAATGTGATTTTTTGGCTTATCACTTTTGACCAATAGGTGGCGCTGTTATCAAATATATGTGGTGTGTTCTGTGTGAGGTGACAATGGCACACAAAGTTTGGTGTCAATATGTCAAAGCTTTGCAGAGATACAGCCTCAGAGTCATTTTGGCATCATGCCTCAAATTTGTAGCGGCGCTATACAAAAAATGGTTTTGTCTATAGACATGAAATCCATAACTTTGTGCCAGCATGGTCAGAAGATGATCGGAGTCAAATTTGGTGAAAATTGGACCAACGGTCTAGGAGTTAGAAAAAGTAGATTTTCAACATAAATCAAAATGGCGGACAGGAAGGTCGGCCAACTATGGCATAATTGGTATCTATGTTGTCGGCATAACAACACTTCATTACAATAGGCTAATGCAATCAAAAGTTATTTGCAGTTTTGTAAATTTTATAATTAATGGTTAATGAATGGTTTATCACTCTTGACCAATAGGTGGCGCTGTTACCAAATTTATGTGGCGTGGTCAGTGTGACGTGACAATGGCACATACAAAGTTTGGTGTCAATATATGTCAAAGCTTTGCAGAGATACAGCCTCAGATGCAGTTTGGCATCTTTCCAGCAAATTCGTTGATGCGCTAAACAAGAACCGTTTTGTATATCAACACGAAATCCAAAAATTTTTGCCAACATGGTCTGAAGATTATCAGAGTCAAATTTGGTGAAAATCAGACTAACGGTCTAGGAGGAATTTAAAAAAGTAGGTTTTCAACATAAATCAAAATGGCGGACAGGAAGTTGTGCCAACTATGGTAAAATTGGTATCTATGTTGTCAGCATGACCCAAGGAATGTTTTGAGATTATTTTTATTATAATAGGCTAATGCAATCCAAAATTATTAGCATTTTTGGAAATTTCATAATTAATGGTTTTCTACTCTTGACCAATAGGTGGCGCTGTTACCTAAATGATGTGGCCTGGTCAGTGTGAGGTGACAATGGCACATACAAAGTTTGGTGTAAATATATCAAAGCTTTGCAGAGATACAGCCTCAGATGCAGTTTGGCATCTTTCTAGTAAATTCGTTGATTGTCGATATACAAAATGGTTTTTGTTTAGTACAAAAAAACATAACTTATAACTTTTGACCACAAGGTGGCGCTGCCCCCAAACTTTTTGAGGACCATCAGGGCATGGTGTCAAAGATACATACCAAGTTGTGGTATACCTATCGTAACGATAGGTCAATGCGTTTGTAAAATATAGCATTTTATCACAAAATTCAAAATGGCCGACGCCCAAAATGGCTAACATGGGAAAATTGGGTATGGTTCGACTCAGCATGATCCACCGAATCTAAAGAGACCTAAATCTAAAGAGAGTTTTGTGATTTTTGGCCAAACCATTCAGAAGTTATAAGCAAAAATAGCCATTTTTTAATATATCCTGAACACTAGGTGGCACTGCGCTGAAATACTGCAGGTAGCCTCAGGTCATGCTTGTTCTAACACACACCGAGTTTGGTCTAAATACGCCAAACCATTGCGGAGATATAGCCTCACATCCATTTTTGCGTGCTTTTCATAGAATTCGTTATTGTTATTTGTTATATTGTTATTCGAGAATGGTTGGACGAATCAACTTGAATTCCATACATTTTTGCCAGCATGGTCTGAAGATGATCTGAACCAATTTTGGTGAAAATCAGATAAACCGTCTAGGACGAGTTCGAAAAAGTAGGTTTTTCGAATTATTAAAAATAGCGAAAATACTAAACCTTACGATTTTTGAAATTTGGTGTCCATTCGACTCGGAATCAGTGAAAAAAATAATTTTCCTTCTGTGCCTTACGCTTCAAAAGTTATTAGCATAAACATGAGTGAAAGTTTAGACAAGTGGTGGCGCTAGAGAGTTTGAGTTAGAGACGCCAAACTTGCAATGATTAATGTTGGGACTGTCCTCAATCAGTGCTATTTTTGAAATTTGGTGTCCATTCGACTCGGAATCAGTGAAAAAAATAATTTTCCTTCTGTGCCTTACGCTTCAAAAGTTATTAGCATAAACATGAGTGAAAGTTTAGACAAGTGGTGGCGCTAGAGAGTTTGAGTTAGAGACGCCAAACTTGCAATGGTTAATGTTGGGACTGTCCTCAATCAGTGCTAAATTCACAACTTTCCCGCAAGCGGTTCTATGGGCTGCCATAGACTCAAGAGCGGAAGAAGATGAAGAAAAAGAACGCCAACGGATACAATAGGTGCCATCGCACCTTCAATGCTTGGCCCCTAATAATAATAATAATAATAATAATAATTCCACAATTCAAACATTAAATTCTATTAAATTTATATTAAATTCCTCCCAGAATATTTTCCACTGAATACTGTTACACTTATGATTGTCATATTATTATGGATGTTAAATACATTGTTGAATGCATTGCCATTATTATCTTCAATCTTACAGGGAGCGATTTATGGCGATTTAGACGTGTGGTGAACTTTACCTCCAGGGGGAACCTGTTTCCATTCAGACTGTGTTCAGATCCGTCTGAAGTGGCGTTACATCGGCCCCAATGGAACGTGATCCTGCCCACTTTAAACCTGGATCTGAGCCCACCTCCGCTTATGAAGTACTGACCGTTCAGACTGATTACCACTGAGAAACACGATACACACACACACACACACACAAACTCAAGGACCGCTTGACACGTAATTGTGCTCTTCATTCAGCACCCTGGATCTGAGCCCACCTCCGCTTATGAAGTACTGACCGTTCAGACTGATTACCACTGAGAAACACGATACACACACACACAAACTCAAGGACCGCTTGACACGTAATTGTGCTCTTCATTCAGCATGCCTAATTGCTCATATTTCATATTTCAGCTTTCATCTCTGATAAAAGATTCATTTTGAGCTTTGCCTTTTGTGCTGGAATAATCCCTCACCCTCACAGTGTCATATCAGAACAAAAGATTCAGCGCCAGCTTTTCTTCTGCGCTCCTGTAAAAGCACAGACCCTCTAAAAGACGACCAGCTGCCATTCACAGGTATGAGAAAGAAACACCAGTAGATTTGATTCTTCAGCAGCTCCATTAGTCTGCCAACGATTAATCTCAGGTTGTAATTGCATTCATCGCAGGCCATCGCTCTCGGTGGTTAATATGTCAGTGTAATTTCACTGAGTGCTGGTTAAAAGAGGGAATTCAAATGCCAGACACGTTTCATCTGCACTTCATCACATATGGAAACACCACAGACCTGTTTTGCCGTTGTTGGTGATGGTGGTGGATTCAGTGGTCAGTTGGTCCCAGTTCTCCAGCTGCAGGTTCTGGTACTGAACCCTGACCTGTGTGAACTCCTCACTGATGTCTATGGGAGACTGTCTGGCATTGCCGCACACCGGATATTTCTTTGCCCAGTGCTTCTGGTTCAGGGCCCCTGTGAAGAATAAGGGTGAATAATCTAATCTTAATAATAGCATACACTTTTATCCAAAGCTACTTACAAAAGCAATTTGTCAGACATGAAGCAAATCAGGTAAAGATATGCTGTGTTAATCAATGCACCAAATATTGACCTGAATTTATGTTGTCTTCTCGGTAAATTTGCGTGAATGTATAAGGCGAAAGTTCTATAACTGGTACACATTTCTGCCTTGGAACCTTTTTAATTGCTTTTTAGTTTATTTATTCATTTAAATAGTCATGTAATGTGACTATATTATTTAAATAATTAAAAATAAAAATATTTATAAAAAGCTGAAATATTGCATATAGTCTCTCAGTTACTATGAGATCAAAACTGCATGTAGAATAATTATACAAGAACTATAAAAATGCTACAAAAAGTAGTTTTACAAAATACAAAAAAGAGCAGCTATCCACAAAAACAATTTTAATATTTGTTTACATATTATTAAATAGTATTAATAATAATATTATTATATTAATATATATGAATAATATTTTAAATATTTCTATTATTTTAAACATTTATTACATATTTTTTAAAAGGACATTATATTTCTTATAAAGAGACAAAGCTATAGTTAATATCTTAATATTTATTTTATGTATTTTATTAAAGCATGTGCCTTGGATTCAGTGCTTCTTCTAAAACATTGTGGTTCAAATGTGTTTTGACATTTTCTTGATCCTCTTCTGCCTAAAATTTTCTGATTTCTCTATTGTACACTACAAATAAAAAGGCCAAAAATGTAAACCAATGGCATATGGCAGCAAACTGAAGCACATGGTATGGCATATGAAGAGTCAGTGCTGATCAGAGCAGAATAATGCCACTTGCAGTGATGTTGAACATAAACCGAGCGCTATGATATATCACACTGACTTCAGCAGATGATAAAGTCACAGAGCAGATGGCAACGGGTCACACATCACTGAACAAACACACACACAAACATAAACACAGCTGATTAAAAGTGTCGCCGAGGACGTGTCTTTAAGACACTAGATCTGAATTATCAGCTCTATGTTCCCTGGAAGGACGATTAATGTGTATATATATATTCACAGTGATTTCACTTTCAGCTCCTGGGTGGCAATTCTTCACCCTCTTAAGCTACAACATAATTAATACGTCCCTAACAGGCTATACAGGATCACGTCCACCATGTGGGGACAGCAGAACCACACATCCATGAACTACTTAATATCGACAAACGTCGGCCGTTAGCCTGATTGATGGATCCACATTCAACAGGAAAACAGCGTTTTGTGCTATGAGTCTGTCAGGATACAGCAGTGCGCATCTGGATCAAGCAGACACACAATATGGCAAGCTGTTTTAACATTTAATCCTTAAAATGTACTAGCATCTATTTTCACACTACTAGTACTTATTTTTTAGCGACTAGTGTCTTTGCCACTAAGGACTAATGCTTATTTTTAGATACTGGTGCTTATTCATTAGCTGCTTATTCTTTAGCTCCTAGCATTTATTCATTAGCTATTAGCGCTTATACTGTAGCTACTGGCACTTATTCATTAACTACTAGCACTTATTCTTTAGCTACTGACGCTTATTCATTAACTACAAGTGCTTATTCTTTAGCTACTGACGCTTATTTAGTTGGTTACGTTTATTCTTTAGCTACTGACGCTTATTCATTAACTACTAGTGCTTATTCTCTAGCTACTGATGCTTATTTAGTTAGTGACGTTTATTCTTTAGCTACTGACGCTTATTCATTAACTACTAGTGCTTATTCTTTAGCTACTGATGCTTATTTAGTTAGTGATGTTTATTCTTTAGCTACTGACGCTTATTCTTTAGCTATTGATGCTTATTCATTAAATATTAGCTCTTATTCTTTAGCTACTGGCGCTTATTCATTAACTACTAGCGCTTACTCTTTAGCTACTGGCACCTCTTCTTTAGCTACTAGTACTTATTCTTTAGCTATTAGTGCTTATTCATTAGCTTCTAGTGGTTATTCATTAGCTACTAGCACATATTCTTTGGCTTATAACTTTTAATTCTTTAGCTACTAGCATGCATTCTTTAGCTACCCCCTGCTAATTAATTAGCTACTAGTGATTTTTCCATTAGTGACTAGTGCTAAGCTACTAGTGCATATTCTTTAGCTACTAATGCTGATTTATCCCTTATGAAATTTTTTTTTGGCGGATTGATTACCCTTTGTATAACCACAGTTTTACTACAAATACCATGGTTAAACTATATGGTTAGTGTAGCAAAACCATGGTTAATTTGTGGTTACCATGGTTTAACTATTTTTTATTTGTAGTAAAACCATGATTAATTTTCTTACGGGATTACCTACTAGTGCTTATTCTTCAGACATTAGCGCTGACCTTTCCTATTGCTTATTAGCCATTAGCACTTATTTATTAGCTACTAGTGCTTTGGTACTAGTAGCTTTTTACAAAACTTTAGATATTAGTTACCAGTACCTATTCATTATGATACTACAACTTTTTTATTAGACATTTATTAGCATGAAAATGCATGCTAGAACATTGAGGATTAAGATGGCTTGCCACACACACACACACACACACACACACACACATGGATACGCTGTAATCAAAGAGAAGTGCTGCTGCTATGGTAACCGCTAGTCTGCGTATGTGGCATAAACGCAGAGCCTGAAGTAATTTCAAGGATTTTGAGACCTCTGGGCTGCTCTGACATTTTAAATATTTATATTTTTCTAACAGCATGTAAGGTCAGATCGCTCACGATCGAAGGCTGCAATAACAGGTAGGATGCGCTTTGGCCTTTGAAGCGATCTGCAGAATTATGGCGTATGGGAACGAACGTGATCACAGTCGGGAACGGTTAATGTGGATTCCTCCCCCACCATAATGACACCCTGATCCACACCGACATTCAGTCTGATTACACCAACCAATTATCCACAACAGTTTCCACGAAAGAAAGTTGGCAAAGAAGAGGTAGAGCGAACAACCGGTGTGAATGTCTGTGGACTCATAAAGGAGCAACTATTCACAAAAACACACCTTCTCTGATGGTCAACAATTGAATAGTAGGCTACAATATAATTTAAAAAAATATTGTAAATAAAAATATTTAATAGTGTACTATTTAAATAGTTTAACAATTAAATGTCAATAATTAATTAAGTTTAAAATGCCATTTTTTTGTTATTTTTAAATTAAATATAAAATATTATATATTTAAATATATTTATATTAAATATATTTGTTTAAAACTATATTTTAAAAAAAATACAGATAATTTTTTATAAGATATATTATATAAGATGTATATTAATATACAATATGTTAGGATAATATATCATATAGTTAAATATGATATATTTCAACGAATGAAATGAATGTTGCAAATGAATGTTGCAAATTATTTAAGTTTAAACTGTCCTTTATTTCTTCCAAATATATAATTATATTCACTGTTCACAGGATGTAGCTTGAATGTGAGTAACTTGTGGAGTCGTTTCCATGACAACTAAGCTTGTGTACACCATAGAGCAATGCGATCGATCAGTAATTTACACTTCAACACAACATTTACCCATTTGCTCTAGAGAAACATATGTATCTGTACATCACGAGATCATGAGCAGTAAAGCAGAGGTGCTGCTGAGGACGGAGGCGGCAGGTTATCAGAGCGTTCTTAGAGAAAAGAGCGGCGGCCCCCGCAGCAGATGGAGACGGGACCCATGCCAGCGGCAGGAATTACACACCCCTGGGCTCTGGAAAACAGGCTCGACGGGGGACTGACATGCTACAGTAACCCATGATCATGTAAGAACTCCGTCCCAAAACCAAGTGAGCAGTCCAGCCGTTTACTGCCTACATAGACAGCTGCATGCTGATTCAAACTGAGCCTCATAAATGACTGATTTGAAACGCTCCACATAAGCACACAACTATTAGATGAAATATTAAACAAAGTATATATCAGTATATATCAGTACATATTACATACATTTTTCCCCATCACAAGGCATTCTTCATGTTCCATGAAGATATTTTGTAAATTTCCTACTGTAAATTTTATATGTTTATATTATTATTGTTTATATTAAAACTTAATTTTTGATTAGTAATGTGCATTGCAAAAAACTTCATTTGGACAACTTTAAAGGCGATTTTCTCAATATTTAGATTTTTCTATTCCATTCATCCTTCAGTATAAATCTCAATTTCGAAAAATTGACCCTTAAGACTGGTTTTGTGGTCCAGGGTCACAAATATGATCTAAATCAAGCAGCTAGTACCAAAGTACTAGATTAAATATTTAAATAAATCTCCTTATAAATTATTTTTTTATTATTTATAAATAATTTTTTAACTTGTTCTTCTTATTATTTTCATATTATTATTATTATTAGATTTAAATAGCTATAATTTTGTTTATTTACATTCTTTACACATATTGTAATCAAATAAATAAATCTAAACAAAAAACAAGGTTTGCCAGATTTCCTTGTAAAAAAAAAACAACTTTTTTTTTTTAAACTATAGGTTATTATTGAAACACACCTATGAAATTAATTTTAATTAAATATATTTGTATTTATATTTAGATATATACAATAATATATTTATCTTTTGTTTATTATACATATTGTAATCAAATTGTAAATAAACAAACAAGGTCTCAGATTTCCTTGTCAAAACTATTTAAAAATTCTTATTATTAAAATACACATCTAAAAATTATTTTATTTTATTTGAACCATTTAAAACATTTTTACAAGGAAATTTGACACAAACCTGTTCTACATAATGACACTATTTTAAGGATTGTGTTGGATGATTCATTTCACATTTTCTTTGAGGTTAATTTACCATAATTCATCTCATCAGTCACTGGCACCATCTGGAAACTTAACGTCACATTTGTTTTGATGGTTTTCTCGTCAGTGAGTGACTCCGTTTTGGTCCCTTTTCCAGGTAAGAGAATGACTGTACATTTTAAACATTCAGCTTTTCTACTGAAAACTGAAACTTAAAAAAAAAACAAAAAAAACCTTCTAATAGTCATGGACTAAAAGTCACAAAAATACTCCTTAAAACAGGCATCCTGACTTAAAAGCCACAAGTCAAAGCCCTCCAACAATCCTGAATGTCACTTACTCTTTTGAAAGTCTTGAGTGTCTTAAAGTGTCTCAGACTTTCAGCTAATCTCCAGCACCGGTGGGTCAGCGGGCGACTCTAATGGAGAACGGACATTGATCCCTCTGCTAGCGTATCCCTGTCTCTCGCTCACAGGAGAAAGGCTTTCTAAGGCGTTTGGGTTGAAGCCAGTGCTGTGCCACACCGGAGTCTGCTGACACGCACACAATAAGAGCGTTTGTTCAGCTCAACCCACCTGTGTAAGCCCAGTCGACGTCCTCGGCGAGTCTGCGCTGACCTCTCAGGTACGACACGGCCAGATCTGGAAGAGAGAGATGAGGAGAGCTGGAGTCACAGAGCCAAACAAACACTAGAGGCAGAACGTTCAGAGAATCCACGAAATAAAACAACAGTCTTTAGTGTTCGAGTCAAATCATTACACAAGTGACAGGATACACTAATTATTTGGAGATTGTTGGGTTTTACCCTTGAAAAAATGGCCACCACCAAGCTAAGGTGTTGCCAAGATGTTTCTATGTTGTTGCTAAGGTGTTCTAAGTGTTATTAGTGCATTGCTGTGTGGTTGTTAAGGTGTTCTAAGTAGTATAAACAGTGCATTGCTACTTGGTTGCTAGGGTGTTGCTATGTGGTTGGTTAGGTGTTCTAAATGATACATAGCCTATAGTGCGTTGTTATGTGGTTGTTGAGGTGTTTGAAGTGGTATATAGAGCATTGCTATGTGGTTGGTATGGTGTTCTAAATGATATATATAGTGCATTACTATGTGGTTGCTAAGGTGTTTAAAGTGGTATATATTGGGCATTGTAAAGTATTTTAAGTTGTATATACAATGCATTGTTATGTGGTTGCTAGGGCATTGCTATGTGGTTGAAGGTGTTCGAAAAGCAATATAGTGCGTTATTATGTGGTCGCTAGGGTGTTGCTGTGTTTGGTAAAGTGTTCTAAATAGTATATGTAGTGCATTGTTATCTGGTTGCTAGGGCGTTGCTATGGGGTTGCTTAAGTGTTCTAAATGGAATATACAGTGCATTGCTATGTTGTTGCAAGGAGGCATTCCTATGTGGTTGCTAGGGCATTGCTATGTGGTTGGAAGGTGTTTAAAGAGCAATATAATGCATTATTATGTGGTCGCTAGGGTGTTGCTGTGTTTGGTAAAGTGTTCTAAATAGTATATGTAGTGCATTGCTATCTGGTTGCTAGGGCGTTGCTATGGGGTTGCTTAAGTGTTCTAAATGGAATATACAGTGCATTGCTATGTTGTTGCAAGGAGGCATTCCTATGTGGTTGCTAGGGCATTGCTATGTGGTTGGAAAGTGTTTAAAGAGCAATATAATGCATTATTATGTGGTTGCTAGGGCGTTGCTATGCGTTTGGTAAAGTGTTCTAAATAGTATATGTAGTGCATTGTTTTCTGGTTGCAAGGCCATTACTATGGGGTTGCTAAAGTGCTCTAATTGGAATATACAGTGCATTGTTATGTTGTTGCTTATATAATGCATTGCTGTGCGTTTGCTAGGGTGTTACAGTAGGTTATACTTTTAAACTGGTGTCATCAGACTAAAGCGGACTTTCCTATTTGACTAGAATGCGGTATAAATATCTGTAGATGAAAGTGTCACTGTTGTAGAAGGGAAAGTTGAGATGAAAGGACACATGAGCTCAAACACACACAGTTGTGTCTGGATTACAGCCATAACCTCTGATAACCAACAACTTCAAATGTTTTGATGGGACTTAAAGGAAAAGAAACTGCATGTGCCAGACTGTAACCAACTAAACTAGTCACAAAGTCCAAGAGTCAGTGTGCGGATCAGATGTAGAATGTCCTTCCTAGAGATTTGGCGAAGCTGCAAACCACTGAAGCATGTAAAAATCAGTTAAAGAGCATTTTAGCATTTTAACAGTCTGACCGTCTGACCCGTCCCGTGTGTAATACGGCCGGTCCCGTCCCTGCCTCTCAGAGCCCATTTCTCAGTGAATGGTGACCGAGAGCCGCTGCCACAATAGAGCCTTTGAAGACTTTTGCCACAGAACAGCCATTATTACAAAGAACAGCAGACACAAGTTGTTCTGGAAGAGTCTTCACAAACACAAGCACCTCTGTGGTCCATATAAGGGTTATTCCCAAGAAACAGTAGAAATTTGTAAATATATTTTGTACAATATTATATTTTTTAATTGAAGATTTTATACTATAAAATAAACTACTTTTATAACATTAATTATAATGAATAATTAATTAATTATTATACTATTTTAAAAAATACATTTAAAAATACACTATTATATATTAAAGGGGTTATATGATGTGATTTCATTTTTTCCTTTCTCTTTGGAGTGTTACAAGCTCTTGGTGCATAAAGAAGATCTGTAAAGTTGCAAAGACTAAAGTCTCAAATCCAAAGAGATATTCTTTATAAAAGTTAAGAGTCA